ACATAGAACCATAGGGAATTTGAGGAACGTCTACACCAGATGCTGCCCTGGAATATTATAGTATAAACTATCATAAGCACATCCATCTAATTCCCCAAAGAGCCATTCCAAAGCACACTTCTCCTAGTACTAATTGGAATTTGTTCATAACCACGAGAATTTCATGTTCTTGTGATGCCAAATCCTGATGACTTCCAGCCATCTTCAATGGGTTACACTTTTAACGAAAACAGCAAAAGAAAATACATCTGTATTGTTGAAGACTTTCATGGCTGGAATCACTGGGTTGTTGTGAGTTTTCCAGGTGGTATGGCCATGTTCCCGAAGCATTCTCTCCTGACGTTTCACCTCCATCTATAGAAGGCATCCTCAGAGGTTGTGAGGTCTGTTGGACACTAGGAAATTGTGGTTTATATATCTCTGGAATATCCATGGTGGGAGAAAGAATTATTGTCTGTTGGAAGTAGGTGTAAATGTTTCAACTGGTCACCTTGATTAGCATTGTGGATTTCAATACCTTCTCTTTGTAGTCTGACATAGTAGTTGTTAAAGTGGTCCAGCATTTCTGTGTTCTCCGATAATATGCTGTGTCCACACAGAACGCCGAAATGCTGGACCACTCTAATAACAACCATGTCAAACACACAGAAAAGCCATTGAAATCCACAAGCATGGGGACAACTTCAACAGAAAGGAAGAACCCATGAAAATAAAATCTGGCTACCAGTACAAAAAAAAACCCTCTAAAATCATAACAGTAAATAAAGAACAACAATCAAAAACAGGGGAATTCCAGACAAGAATCAATCAGGGACAGCTAATCCCCCAGGCAGTAAGAAGCCAGACCTTGAAACTGCTAGGCCATTAAATGCTAATCAAGGTGGCCAATTAAAAGATTCACACTTGCCTCCAACAGACAAGAGTTCTTTCTCCCACCCTGGACATTTCACAGATAAATAAACCCCATTTTCCTAGTTTCCAACAGACCTCACAACCTCTGAGGATGCCTGCCACAGATGCAGGCAAAAAGTCAGGAGAGAATGCTTCAGGAACATGGCCATACAGCCCAGAAAACTCACAACAATCCAGAAAATACATCTTTCCAAGGCCACCTTCCCACCAAGAAAATTTACATTTGCTTCAATTCTGGGAACATCTATACCAGATGTGGACAAACTTCAGCCCTCCAGGTGTTTTGGACTTCAACTCCCACAATTCCTAACAGCCTACCAGCTGTTAGGAATTGTAGGAGTTGAAGTCCAAAACACCTGGAGCGTCGAAGTTTGCCCATACCTGTTCTACACTGTAAATCTCTACATCGAATGCAGTTTGACCTCACTTTAACTACCATGGCTCAATATGATAGAAGTTTGGTAGTCATCATTTGGTGAGGCATCAAGCCTCTTTGGCAGAGAAGGCTAAACACCTTGTAAAATTACAACTCCCATTAATCCATAGCACTGAATCATGGAGGTTAGAGTTAGTGCTGTCAAACTGCATTAATTCCACAGTGTAGATGTACCCTGAGAATAAATGGGATATAATAGGGAATTAGTAAGAATTTGAAGGCATCTCCAAATTCCTGCTGATCTGAAAAATAGGTAAGTTTGTTTTTCTATAGGTTTTTTCCCCCTGTAAACCTGGGTTTCCCTGGTTCCTGTACAGTCCTTCTCTAAAGGAAAAAAAAGACATTTGATGTCACATATGTGAAGCAAAGAAGCAACATCCATTAAATTGTTGTAAGTTTTTCATGCTGTATGGCCATGTTCCAGAAGCAGTCTCTCCTGATGTTTCGCCTGCATCTGTGGCAGGCATCCTCAGAGATAGAATCATAAAATCATAGAGTTGGAAGAAACCTCATGGGCCACCCAGTCCAACCCCCTGCCTAGAAGCAGATACCTGCCATAGATGCAGGTGAAACGTCAGGAGAGAATGCTTCTAGAACATGGCCATATAGCCCGAAAAACTTACAACAACCCAGTGATTCCAGCCATGAAAGCCTTCAACAAAGCATCCTTTGGATTTTGCCCATGACCATTTCATCCATCTGGGTTGTTGTGAGTTTTTTGGGCTGTATGGCCATGTTCCAGAAACATTCTCTCCTGACGTTTCACCTGCATCTATGGCAGGCATCCTCAGAGGTTGTGAGGTCACTGTTTTTATTCCATCAGCCCACTTTGGTTGGAATTGATGCTTTTAAGCTGTTGCATTGTACTTATATTTTATTGTACTTCTATTTTAATTGCTTCAATTTATATGCTGTATGTATTGTTGTATATGTAATGTTGCTTTGAATTTGCCATGGTCTGTAAGCCACCCTGAGTCCCCCTAGGGGTGAGAAAGGTGGGGTATAAATATAGCAATAATAATAATAATAATAATAATAATAATAATAATAATAATAACCACCTCTGAGGATGCCTTCCATAGATGCAGGCGAAACGTCAGGAGAGAATGCCTCTGGAACATGGCCATACAGTCCAGAAAACTCACAACAACCCAGTGATGCCAGATGTGAAAGTCTTCAACAATCCATCCATCTGTTTTTCAGAAAACATTCCAAATTTTACCTTGCCAGTTCCATGCTCTTTCCTCTGTAGCTTGGTGAAGTATCCCTTCTGCTGGCAATGCTATCATAATATAGGACAGAAGCTGGGAGGGGCTAAGAAACAGGCAGGAGGCCAGGTGGTTCTCAACTGCAACTTCCCTCAGCCTTGGACTGAATGGAGAAGCGAGGAAGGATGAGTGTTCCCAACAGGAAACATCTGGAGGACCACAGCTGCTCTTCCCAGAAAGACCAAGGTAAAGCATTGACTGAGCAAAGCTAAGAGAGCTTTACGTCTCTTCTCTTTAAAACCTGAGCCATGTTGACCATGTGGGAGGAAGTCATGGAGAGGAGGGAGAAAGCTTGTTTTTTGCTGCCCTGGAGACTAGGACGCAATGGAACAATGGCTTCAAACTACAGGAAAGAAAGGAGATTCCATCTGAACATTAGGAAGAGCCTCCACATGGTGAGAGCTGTTCAGCAGTGGAACTCTCTGCCCCGGAGTGTAGTAGAGGCTCCTTCTTTGGAGGCTTTTAAGCAGAGGCTGGATGGCCATCTGTCAGGGGTGCTTTGAATGCAATTTTCCTGCTTCTTGGCAGAAAGGGGTTGGACTGGATGGGCCATGAGGTCTCTTCCAACTCTATGATTCTATGAGCCAATGCCGGAATTGGAGGATATAGGAGTTCCTTCTGGGCAATGCTAACTATCAGAGAGTGTATCTAATTATTATTATTATTATTATTATTATTATTATTATTATTATTATGAAATAATACTGACACAAAAACACAGTATGACACAGCAATCACAAAATCAAAAGTCAAACAATTTTTGACTGTGAGCGCTGTTCATCAGTGGAACTCTCTGCCCCATATATATATATATATATATATATATATATATATGGTATGATTTTTGTGTCATACTAATAATAACAACAACAACAACAATAATAGGTAAAGGTAAAGGTTTTCCCCTGACATGAAGTCCAGTCATGTCCGACTCTGGGGTGTTGTGCTCATCTTTCTAAGCTGAAGAGCTGGCGCTGTCCGTAGACACCTCCAAGGTCATGTGGCCGGCATGACTGCGTGGAGTGCCGTTACCTTCCCGCTGGAGTGGTACCTATTCATCTACTCACATTTGCATGTTTTCGAACTACTAGATTGGCAGAAGCTGGGGCTGACAGCGGAAGCTCACGCCACTCCCCGGATTCAAACCTGCAACCTTTTGGTCAAAAAGTTCAGCACTTTAACACACTGCGCCACCGGCATGATATGATATGACATGATATGAGGATTTAAAGATTGAACTGCAAAGACTCTGGCACAAGCCAGTAGAGGTGGTCCCAGTGGTGATCGGCACACTGGGTGCAGTGCCTAAAGACCTTGGCCTGCACTTAAACACAATTGGCGCTGACAAAATTACCATCTGCCAGCTGCAGAAGGCCACCCTACTTGGATCTGCACACATTATTCATCAATAAATCACATAGTCCCAGATACTTGGGAAGTGTCCTCCATAGGATCCAATACAAAAGCCAGAACAGTAATCTTAATAATATTGTTGTGTATCTAATTAATAATAATAATAATAATAATAATAATAATAATAATAGAGTTGGAAGAGACCTCAAGCGACTTCCAGTCCAACCCACTTTTGTGCCATGCAGGAAAAGTGCAATCAGAGCAACCCCAACAGAAGGTCATCCAGCCTCCATAATAATAATAATAATAATAATAATAATAATAATAATAATAATAATAATAATAGAACCCCAGGAGCCATCTAGTCCAACCTCCTTCTGCTTTCATGCAGGAAAAGCATGGAGGAAAAGCATATATCAGGTATGGGCAAACTTCAGCCCTCCAGGTGTTTTGGACTTCAACTCCCACAATTCCTAACAGCCAGTAGGCTGTTAGGAATTGTGGGAGTTGTAGTCCAAAACACCTGGAGGGCCGAAGTTTGCCCATACTGTAGAATAAATGCAGTTTGGCACCAATTCATGCTTAATGCTATGGAGTCATTGGAGTTGTGGTTTTGCAAGCCTTCTCTGTAGTTTGGTGAGGGGTGCTTCCCCAAACTACAACTCCCAGGACTGCCTAGCATTGACTCAGGGCGCTATTGTATTCACCCTACAGTGCAGATGCAGCCCCAGAGCCCCCAAGGGAGGAAGAGGGAGCAAAGGAATAAGTAGTAAATCAAATAAGCAATAGATATAAGTGATAAATAACCCAAGTTACTCACTCACTAGCCATGCTTGGTGGAGCTCATCTTGAGCAAGTAACTTTCCCCTCGCCTTTGGTGCCTCTCTCCTCTGATGAAGACTTCTCCTCTCCTTTGAATGCAACAGGTGGCTTGGACCAGCCCTTCCCTTGGACTGCCCACCCCTCAGTTCTCATGCCTCTCTCTCGTTCTCCCTTCCACACACACGCCCACGCTTCCACCCCACACTCACCCACTCCAAGAGGAAGAGAAATCACGGAGAGGAAAGGGTTCCGGCTCTCCAGTATCCAGAGGCGAGGATGCTTTGGGCCACTCCAGGGTCCATGATCCAGGGATGCTCTGCCTCCCGTAGCCTCCCGCTCGCTTTCTGCGGCCACTCGCCCTGCCCTCTACCGGACCCGACACGCGTGGATTGATTCTCCCCCGACGTCAGGACGAGCCTTGTTGCGCCTCCCGGCTGGGCTGAGCCTCGCAAGCAAGGCTCCCTTCCTCCACTCCCCTCCCCTTCCCATTCATCCACCCCTGCTTCCCATGAACCCAGAGAAGGAGGCAAAGATCCACTCGTGCTGGAGAACAATCCTAAAGGGCTTCTGCAGACCCCACGGGAAGGGATAGCCACCCCCTCTGCCTTCATCACAGGCTGCCTTTCCTAGATGCAGATCCTTCCTAAGGAACAAATTAGGTTCTGGAGGTTTGCTCCTAATTTGAATATGTATGTAAGTCGGAACAGGCAGGTTTGTAAGTATATAACTGCAACTTCAGCCACATATATATATATGGCTGGAGTTACACACACACACACACAGGTAACTGCAGCCATCTATATCTATATAAATAAAAATGTAATGTTCGTTTTTGGGATTAACAGAACTCAAAAACCACTGGACGAATTGACACCAAATTTGGACACAAGACACCTAACAACCCAATGTATGTCCTTCACTCAAAAAAATGGATTTTGTCATTTGGGAGTTGTAGTTGCTGGGAATTATAGTTCACCTACAACCAAAGAGGATTCTGAACCCCACCAACGATGGAATTGAACCAAACTTGGCACACAGTTCTCCCATGACCGACAGAAAATACTGGAAGGGTTTGGTGGGCAGTGTCCTTTGGTTTTGGAGTTGTAGTTCACCTACATCCAGAGGTCACTATGGACCCAAACAATGATGGATTTGGACCAAACTCTACACGAATAGTCAGTATGCCCAAATGTGAACATTGGTGGAGTTTGGGGGAAAGAGACCTTGACATTGGGGAGTTGTAGTTGCTGTTCACCTACAATCAAAGAGCAACAATAGAATTGAACCAAACTTGGCACACAAAACTCCCATGACCAACATAAAACACTAGAAGGGGTTGGTGAGCATTGACTTTGAGTTTTGGAGTCGTGGTTCACCAACATCCAGAGAGCACTGTGGACTCAAACAATGAAGAATCTAAACCAAACTTGGCATGAGTACTCCATATGCCTAAATATGAACACAGATGGAATTTGGTGAAAATAAACCTTGACATTAGGGAGTTGTCATTGCTGGGATTTATAGTTCGCCTTCAATCAAAGATCTTTCTGAACCCACTCAATGATAGAATTGGGCCAAACTTCCCACACAGAACCTCCATGACCAGCAGAAAATACTGTGTTTTCTGATGGTCTTTGGTGACCCCTCTGATATCCCCCTCATGACCCCCATGTTGAGAAGCATGTTCTAGAATATCTGACCACTGGCCAAAGTAGCTGAGGTTGCTGGAGTTGAAATTCAAAGCACCCAGAAGACCAGAGTTTGGGGATTAATGTCCTAAAAAACCTTGTCCTCTTTGATCTTGAAGGGTAAGTATGGTCAGCTTTGGTTATTGAATGGTAAGACCACCAATATATACCAAGTGCTGCAGACTATATTTTAGAATAAGGAACTGGCAAAGCCACCACTGCGTATTCTAAGAAACCTTATGAAAGCCATTGGGATTCTACAAGTGAATTATGAGCACATTCAGAGAGAGAGAGGAAGTAGCTGTGGTCATTATCTAAAGGCTAAGGAAACACACAGATATTGAAGAATAGGTGTTCTAATGATGACTTGATCAGAGTTACGAATTCCATTACAATTTTATGTAAGGTGGACATGCTGTTTTCTAAATTACTTTGCAGGCCTCAATAGAATAGATGCTACAATACAAATTGAACAGGTGAAGGTTTTCCTTATCATTGGAGTTCTGTAATTAAAATCTACAGTGACAAAAGCTCTTTCTATATCTACAAGGACATAGACTCATTTTGGATCCAGAAAGTACATGATGGTCTATGGTCTAAGGCGACAATTCTAAATTCACTTGCATTGAAGTCAAGCGCTCTTTCCATAGCACTGGCTTCTGGCTGGATTTTAGCAACAGTATCCTATGCATGCTTCCTCAAAATAATAGAGTTGGAAGAGACCACAAGGACCATCCTAGTTCTTGCTGTGTAGGAATTATACACAAGGACTGTGTATAATACACCAGGACTGTGGCGCAGCTGGCTGGGCGTCAGCTGCATTAAGATCACTACTAACCAAAAGGTCATGAGTTCAAAGCCAGCCCGGGTGAGCTTCTGACCAATTTGTGTAGCTTGCTGTTGATCTTTGCAGCCCGAAAGACAGTTGCATCTGTCAAGTAGGAAATTTAGTTACCTCTTATGCGGGGAGGCTAATTTACAACACCATAAAAATATCCAGCAAGCATGCAAAGAATGAGGAAGTACTTTATCAGTGTCACAAATGGACGGTGAAGCAACAGCTCCCCTGGTGGCCAGAAAACCCTCATGAAAATGCTGGAATGTTAAATAGCCTCTGTGTGTCTGACTATATATGTTGTGTGTCTATTGCATTGCATGTTTGCCATGTATATGTACATTGTAAACTGCCCTGAGTTCTCTGCGGGGTGGGAACGGTGGAATAGAAATACTGTAAATAAATAAATAAATATAGCTAATGCATTCCTGAAAAAAAATGGCTATCCTACCTCTGTTTAAAAGCTTTGTTGAAGGGTGGGAACTCAAGAATTGTGGATGGAAAAGTTATAACTATTTGATATATACATTTGTATTTTTTATTAGGCAACCACCTAAAACCTAAGAAATTTTGAATTATGGATAGGTAAGTATCAAGTAACAGGATTAGGATGGATCACATAAAATGGATTGGTTATAGAGAATTACATAAGTTTGGTATAATACAAATAAAAGAGAAAGCATGATAAAGATATAATGATATATGGTCAATTTTTGTCTATAGAATACTAATTTACTAACTGTTTAAATGAAATTCATAGAATTTTCCTTTTTAAGATAATAGTTAGAGAGAAGAGTTGAGTGCAATGACCTGTCAAGAATAATTAAGAATAACCTTCAAGAAAGAAGAGAAAATAAGAACACAAGACAATATCAGAATGAATAAGATAAAACTACTAGACTTAAAAGTAGACGTGTTAAGAATCCTCAATGTCTTATGTAATGTGTGTCAAGGGAATAGAGATGATTTAGTTGTAACAATGATAATTTTGTATAAAAATTCCTCCCCATTCCAGCAACCTGTTCAACCCCAGTTAGAGTTCACTTTGCCCTTAGCACCAACCAGGAATCCAAAAGAAGTAGTAAAATAGTTTGTTGAAGAGAGTGCATATAAAAAAGGGGAAAACGCAAAACCCAACAGGTAACCAGGAAAGGTAGTCAGTATGTAAAAATCCAACCAAACTGGCGAGGAGTAAAACACTTCAAAGGCAATAATCCAAATGGTACAGGAAAACAAGAATCATAACGTGAGCATAATCCAAGGAAACAAGAATCAAAACATGAACAAGAATCCAGAAAAACCACGGCTATAAGAGCTTCTTAAAACATGAATCAAAACTCCCAGAAACTTGAACTGGAAACAGGATTTGATATCCTTACTATTAAGCAGTGTTGCCTGATCTGAAATCTCAATGAGACACTCTCTAATTTAAGGGCTGCAAAACATGAAAGCATTTCTTTGACCTTGAGGTTCTGACTTGTAAAACTTTCTCTGCACTTCTTTCTCATTGATTCTTTTGGATTTCCTGCACCTGATGTTTTTCTCCCTCAGATCCAGCCTGATATCCCTGTCTAACCCAGCTATTCCCTCTGATGAGCTGTCTTGATCTGCCAGGTCTTTATCAGGGGTTGATAAGCTCCTTGCAGGTGAAAGGTCCTTTCCATGTCTGCTTGACTCTAAAGCAGTTCCACTTTCAAACTCCATTTCACAGACAGAATCTTGCTCTGAAATCCCTTCATTCCCCTCATTGAAAGAACCATCCACCATTCTCCCAGACTCTGAAACCCCAATCCCCTCATTTTCATCTGTCTAAACCACAAAATAACCCACAGTTTTATTTTATTTTTCTTTGCAACATATCAGACATCTGTAAAGGTACAGAAAACCAATATTAACTCTACTACCCCTATATTCTTTTTATTCCTTTTGTTTTTCTTCCCCTCACACCTACATTCAGTGTGAAATGTTTCAGTTTTATTTGGAAATGTTCAATCTTAAAAAAAAAAAAGCTTTGTTGAAGCAAAATCCTCCATCTCTTGAGGTTCATCTACACCAGGGGTCCTCAAACTTTTTAAACAGAGGGTCAGGTCACAGTCCCTCAAACTGTCGGAGGGACGGATTATAATTTGAAAAAAACATGAATGAATTCCTATGCACACTGCACATATCGTATTTGTAGTGCAAAAAACACTTTAAAACAATACAATAATTATAATGAAGAACAATTTTAACAAATATAAACTTATTAGTATTTCAATGGGAAGTGTGGGCCTGCTTTTGGCTGATGAGATAGGATTGTTGTTGTTGTTATATGCTTTCAAGTCATTTCAAACTTAGGTTGACCCTGAGCAAGGGCCAGGTAAATGACCTTGGAGGGCCGTACCTAGCCCCCGGGCCTTAGTTTGAGGATCCCTGATCTACACTATAGAACAGTGGTTATCAACCTGGGGTCCCCAGATGTTTTTGGCCTACAACTCCCAGAAATCCCAGCCAGTTTACTAGCTGTTAGGATTTCTGGGAGTTGAAGGCAAAAAACATCTGGGGACCCCAGGTTGAGAACCACTGCTATAGAATGAATGCAGTTTGATACTACTTCAATTCCCAAGACTCAATGAGATGGACTCCTAGGAGTAGCAGTTTGGTGAGGCATCAACACTCTTTGGCAGAGAAGGCTAAAGACTTTGTAAAACTACAAGTCCTATGATTCTATTGCATTGAGACACTGTGGTGGCAAACTGAGTTAATTCTACAGTGTAGAGATGGACTCTAAGACTTGAAACTTTATCACACAAGGCTAATAAATCACAATTACAGTAAGCTAATA